TGTCAATCTGAAACATTCTTCTCAGTCGTGGGTTACGATAATTAATCAGTTACGTGCTATCCTTTGTTTAGTAGATAACAGTCAGCGGCATCCGTGAAGGTGCTTCTTCTCACAAATTATCTCGCTAAAAGGAATCTGTTAAGGGTCTTAAAGCATAAAAAGTCGTGAGTCATCCGAGTATGAATCATGGACACCGCTACCTTCTAACGTTTCACTGATAAGACTAATGCAAAGAAAACTATCCCTTTTATTCATCCCTATTAACAACAGCCAAATTTAAGAGTCATAGCACAGTTGGTATGGTTATATAATAATAAATAGGTATGCAAGCGAGTAAAAAGAGTGCCGAGTACATATCTAAAGTGAAATAGTAGTCATAGTGGCGACACGGGTTCTAGCACAATATTTTACCTGCCAAACCAAATTATATATCCTCTTGTTTTAAATCATGCCTTTTAACATGTCCACGTTCATAAGGACAGGTATAAGTCAAATTTATCAAGTCGTAATGGTTAATGGTTGGTTTAAATTGCGTAGATACGCTGCGGAAGCTATGGCAATAGAGCAAAGTGATTTTGACTACAGATTTATAGAAGATATCAATATCTACATAAAAGTACGCGATGCTATATGTCTAAAACTAAAAATCCATATCGCTAAAACATCTTATACTGAAAGTGACATTGTACATCAGACACAAGAATTCAAAGCATCTCACAAGGATTTGAACATTGTGAATAAACAATTGTAAATGATTCCAAGTACAGAAGCGGTGTTCTGTGAGAAATGCCGCTGGCGCTAGCAGTACAATGGCGATTAAGCGTAGACAGACCAACAAACACTGTTCGTCATTACACCAATGAAAAAGTGACACTCGAAAGTCGCAGGGTTTTAAGATAAAGTATATTACGGTATGTATTGTTTAATGAAACAGTTGTTAAGGATACAGTTATACTTTGTTCGATTAGAAATTTTAGTTGAATGTAATCTGAGATTGTCTTGTAGTTAACATTGGGAATTGAATTCTTTTAACCGTTAAGCTTTTCATTATCTCATATGGGAACAAGGATTGCTGGGTTTCATAATTTGAAGCACATATTTAAGATACAACTGTTCCGTTATCTTTTTAAAGGGCGGGCGGATTTAATATTAGATATGCTTTTAGGCAACCTTTTAAACCTTGAAAGAGATACAATTTTAACTAATATTATAAAGAGGTAAGATTTTATTGTTTACATTGAATAGGCTCCAAAACGACAGATTTGAAAAATTCTTTCAACAAGAACCCTACGTTATCCCTGATGAACATTGGCTATAGAATACTTTTCCAAGGTGTGAAAAAGACCAATACTTTTAAATCACGTACGCTGTGGAAGCTATTGACAATAGAGCAAAGTGATGTTGACTACAGTTTTATAGAAGACAGGAATATCTACACAAAAGTCAGCGATACCATATGTGTAACAAAATAATATTCGTTTCACATTTAAACGACTATCAACCGAGATAAGCTATAGAAGATCAAGCCACGACCGAATTAACGTGGAACCACAGAGCACAGCTGCATATAAGCATGAAGACAGCAGCAACTGATAGTCCATTTTCAAATTGCTTTACACTTTCTAATAAGTTTCCGTTGACGTAGTTGTTATTTTTTAAAGCCTAAATCATTTTAGTTCGATTCGTGAATTAATTCTATGTACTGCAATGTGCGAAATGAGCGAATAAACGCGCCATCTTTAAGTCACTTTTTCCTCAATATAAATTATACTCGTAAACAAATGAGGTAACATAATCCTCAATCTGATAATTTTAATATAGTTTGATTAAAGTCATATAATTAATTCACAGGTGCGAGTGGCATAAATAATATGATATACCTATATTTTCCATTGTGTGAATTCATGAATACAGCCGATAAACATAGTAATAAATTAATTGGTATTCATTATATTGTGAATTCCAACATAGTGTCTTAGAGTAATTTCCATGAATGAACAATTCATGGTTTTCCTTAATAATCAAGCGCAGTTCGCCTAGAGCAAAGATTCCACTAGACACTACTTGTTTATTGCATCACAAGAATTTCGAGTATTAAGAGAATTTACAAAGAACGCAAAATGTACACGAAGAAAAGATTTCTTTCAAAAAACTTCCTTTTTTTAGGTCAGGGGGCAAACCGGCAGGAGGATGATGTTAATTGATATGCCGCCGCCCATGGACACTGTCAATACCAGGACTCAAAGGCTTCTTATGGAATAATATCCATTGTGTTCTGTAGAAATCAATAGTCTAAATGAAATGTATGAAATTACATGATATTTTTAAATTGAAATCTTCTATTTAAAAAAACAACCATCATTGCTTATCTACACGTGCCAAAATCTATTAATTTAGTTACAATCTCTGTAACGTTAGAGTGGAATTAGGCCAAAATACAACGACAACATTACGTCACATTGAAGAGCAAGAAGTTCCCGAAATGGCTAGCCTACAGAATTCTATTTTTTTTTCTACTACAAGTTACGGATAACTTTTACTAACAGATTTTTTGATTGCATCGACGCCAACGTCAACACCAAAGCAACACGGCTTTATAAAGGGAATGCTATAACCTGATACTTATTCCTACGCAAAAAACTGAATAAGATTAGCAGAGATATTTAGGTTACAAAATACTACTGAAGGTAGCATATATTAAAACATCTAACTGTACATACGGTTACTACGTATTAGTGTTATACAATGCAGAGAATTTTTTTTTATAATAAAGCTTCCCTTCAATCTTTCTTAATTAAATTGTGTTGCGTAGTTGAAAAAATCTATACAAACGAAGCAACTTTGTTTTATAAAGACTTCGGACTATTGTTTCAGAATAACTGAAACAAATTAAACAAAGGTTACGCAATCAAAAGGTTGGATGACGAACGTTTTAGCACATCCATAAAAACAAGCGAAACGGCAATAAATTAATAACTCATCGTCAAATGCCTCCAATTACCGAACAATATAAAGCAAAGTCAAGCAGGTAAACAAAATAGAGTTGTTATAAATTTTACAAGAGCGCTCGAAGCCCACACTGCCTCTCGACCGCATTATGCAGTTTTTTTCTTTGATTTTTTGCTCGTTGGCATTCGCATTGTAGGCCTACTTCCGTCGGTACGGTTTTTATGGTGGCGCTTAGTTTGGACAAAGGCTAAACCAAATAGTGCACACTTGATGGAGATGTGACATGAGTGCGTCATCGCGTTGGCATTTGTTTTACTTTATTACATAAACTAATAAGGATGGAAAACAGTTTTATTGTAACGATAATAATTATAAAATTTTATATCGATTTGGTTATACTAATTAACAAGATTGATTTGGTCAAAAATATCATTAGGAAATTGGTTACCGAAACCATGTTGACGAGTTTTTTTTTTAGAACTTTATATAATGTTATCAAACAATTTGGAGTGAGAAGCGCAGATTTTGGAATTTTTCACAGTTCTGTGTCCGTTTTATCGATTATTTATGAGCAAGTTGGTCATCAGACTTCTGTACCTGACACATCTCGATTTTTGGCAGATATATGTTAATGACCTTCAAGGAAATTAGCGACAATGCGGAATATTTTCCTATTTTTAGACTTATAGAATGATGAAGATATCGTCTTTATATTTTACAGTTAAGCTATGGATTCAACTGGAATGTGTAGCAGGAAACGAAACTGTTATTTGTTATATTAAATTATATTACAATTTAATATTGTTTTACTTGTCCGGGAAATTCAGAACGTGTAGCAAACGGAAAACAATGTATCAAAAGGCTCAGGGTTAGATCTTCGACGAAAGAATCTCAGAAATCAGTGAAATCAGTTATTGACAAATAAATATAGTCATATAATACTTTGGTACGTCTGTTGAACTAATTTTCTTAGCATCAGATATTCCTTCCACAACTTAATACTGAGAATTGAAAGTATAGCGTGAACCACTGATCTACGAGGTCTATAAAAGTGTCTAGTTTTCGGCTGTGTTTATCTTGGAACAAAGCATACGTGATTGATTTCAGGGGTGGGGGGGTAGGGGAGGTGATGCTTAGCGGCAGTGACCGCTGCAGCCAGGTGCGTCCGGCCATCGACACCATAAAATTAATAACCCGTCGAGCCTCCTAACCGATGCACTCTTGAATCATGACCACTTCATATAAAGTGCACTTGGACGCTGCGTTTGTAACAGGCGTTAGGTTTATATGATTATAAATTTATCAAATAAGTACGTTTCAGTTGTCCTTGACAAATCAAAATAATAAATATTTACAATCAAGTACAGAGTATATACAATTTTCTTAACCTACGAAGTAATGATAAAAAATTATTAAAAAGAAAATAAAAACAAATTTAAAAAGTTTAGGTCCTGTGACCGTGTACCTTTAAGGCTAGCAGCATTTCCTTGCAGTATTGCGATACTTTTTCGTTGAGCCAGGAAAGTACCAGCTCTGGGGTCACCGGTAATATCTACTAGGCGCCAACTTAAATCTTTAATTAGCGCCTGTGCACTTGAACACCACGGCCCAAGGGTTTCTACTCCAAAGGGAACTAAATTAGATCGGTACTGGAATATCGATATAAATATTTAGCAATTCTAAGTGCTAAGGTCCGAGATAATTTATACCTGAAAAGCGTAATTGAAATGCTACATACGCAAAAAATATGTCGTGTTTCGTAACGTGCAAACGTTTATTTCGTGTGAAGTAACTTTAACTCTCATCGAATTGAATATGTTACGGCGTTCCCAGAGTTATGTCTCGGTATCATACGGAATGTAATTGAATTTTTTCTACATTTTGAATTCCTCTTATAGGTAGCTACCGGCTACCTAGCCAGTGAATGAACCACATTACACAGTATTGAAACATCAATGGTATTATCTCTTATGGCTGTTAGTAATAGCCCTTTCATAACTTGTTAATAGAATTAACGGCGTACAATAAAATGTTCCATTTGTTAAGTCGCATCAAAAATCAGAAATGAACCTTTTCATCGCCACGCTCCATTCAACTTTGGTTTTGTATTTAATATTATACTTAATGGCTGTTGTGGATTGATGTGATCCAGCATCGAGGCCGCGGGGAGGGGCAAGGGGCACGAACGTATTCCACCGAGACGGTGAGTCTGTCTGATAAAAGAGGATTTTATCCGCCCGATTTAGCATGAAATTGGACTACAAAGTGAATAAAGCTACATGATTGTAAACATTATGTGATCCTCTTTTTACAGCGGACATTCGGCTTATTTAGGTACGGTTTTTTCGACTATATTCCATTACGAGGCCTCCATTTATTGCCTTGTTAACCCTAGTTAACGAACTGAGGTTTCTTTCAGGTGCGGTAAGCGATCACGTCGGTAAGTTTATTGCTTTTGCCTTCAAGTATAATTGATTTGCGGTATTCAACATTACAAAGCCGATTCGTGTGGTTCTCTCCTAATCGGCGCGACTTAAAAGGATAACGTAAGTACTTCGGAGGGAATTTTAAAAGCTCGTAAAGACATCGTGGGTGTAAATCAAGAGAGGCGCGCGTTCCCACGCGAGAGCGTCGCAGCAGCAGAATGAATGACTCACTGAACTCGAAGCTCCATTTCCACAAGTCATAGTGCAATTAATAATATACGGCATCCTGTCGAATTATCTCTCGTCGTGGCAGGGGTCCGGGCGGCTTTAATTTACCACAATGGAAGATGGTTCTGAGAAGCGTCGGTCGGCTAGGCGGGCCGATTCTTCGACGAAAACAAACAGAAAATAATTATCATAAAGATGAAGAGCGGCCGCGAGGCTCGCTGCTAATGGGAGCCCACCTGGCACACTCGCGCACACTCGCGCAACGCGTACACTCACACATTCCACGCCACATGTAACCTGCCAGATACAACCGTCATCCCGACAAGTCATCTCCGCTTTGTCGTGATTGACTTTTGATACAGGATTTATACTATACTAATCCAATGTTAACACAGCCGGTGTAGATAATTAGAAACTTAACAAAGCCCATAAATTGTAGAGTTTAAACACAAAAAATGCACTGGAAATTCAATGTTGTAAACTAGGTTTCTATACGATTTAGTTTCCGATACCGATAACGTACCCGCAATGTGAATAGGACTATAGGTATCTATATATGGTGATCATTTTTTATTAAGAAAAACCTACAATTCATCTAAGTTAAAAACTTCTTAATGCAAACCTAATTATAAAATGTCTGTAAAGTTTATTTATTGAACAAATTTTATTTTCAATCGAATTCCACGCTGGTTTGTTTTTTTTCTAAATTAAGTCGGCTCGCCGATTATGTCATCTCAACAGCTTAATCCATAATTTTTCACAGGCATGTGGAAAATTCTACGCCTTAGGTAATTAACAGCGATCGTGTTTATCAAAAGAATGCGTAATGCGTACAATTAAAGGTCTCCAGAGAAGCTTACGGTGTCTTTACTGTTATTGAATTAGTAGTGACTTACTTTTCTAGACGCGAGCAAAAGTAAACAATGTTAATTTTTACCGTGAGTTATGTAATCTAACATAAGTTAAGTTACATAAATATTTTAGTTCATAATTAGAATTGCAGTGTTGAGCAGTGTTGGCCTAGTGGCTTCAGCGTGCGACTCTCATCCCTGAGGTCGTAGATTCGATCCCCGGCTGTGCACCAATGGACTTTCTTTCTATGTACGCATTTAACATCCGCTCGAACGGTGGAGGAAACCGGCTTGCCTTAGACCAAAAAAGTCAACGACGTGCGTCAGGCACAAAAGGCTGATCACCTACTTGCCTATTAGATTACCAAATTATCATGAAACAGATACAGAAATCTGAGGCCCAGACCAAAAAGGTTGAAGCGCCATTGATTTATTTTATTTTAATTAGATTGCAAACCAATTGTTAGCAATCGATTTACACTAGTAGCCAATTAATTGTAATAGGTCAATTTTGTAATACATAATTGTGTCCTTTAGTTTTTCATACACTCACAAATCTTGTATTCTTTGTAGGTAACAGAAGCGTCACTTAGATTTAATAACCCTTAAACAAGTCATACTAGTTTTTTGATAGCAACCACACAACCTCTAATTCTATGTTAGTTATAAGCTCATGTTTTAAACGGTTAAAGCCTGATGACACCCAGCTTTAAATAAAGAGTTTCATTTATTTCAATCATCCTTTCAACAACCGACACTGAACTTAATTCGCGTTTGCTACAAAAAGATTTAAAGCATTGAAAATACTAGAATTAAGGAATTGGTCTTTGGAACAATGTGTATTACTCATGGCTTCTGGCGAATCATTGCAGACAATTGCGTTCCATAGAAAAATTATTAAACTGGTTTCATTCGCCGCCAATTTTAATTTAGTATTGTCCTGTAACACATTGCTGGACAAGGAATGTCTTTCTACGTTCATCTTAATCAGTTAAGCCCTTTGTAATGAACTAAAAACAGTTCTAATTGTTATGTTTCGAAGTTTTGAAAGGGTCTCACTTTAGCGATAAGGCTGTGTTGTCAACGATTTAACACTGCGGCCGCTATCATACTGTGAAAGCCGAAGATAACTTGAGGAATTCGAGGGTCCGAGTCGGAATACGGTTTTTCTCATTCTTTTTTCGGCATCCACATTTCAGACGTTTTTGCGAAGATTCCAAATATCGGGTGGTCCATTAATGTTGGAACAATGGCTCGCTCAGTTTCTATTATCGTTTTTTTTCTACATTCGACCGCTACAAAAATTAGTCTATTTAATTGCAGATTTAATGTGTGAGGGCTAATTGTTGACTAATGGTACTTTTAACTAATGGTGATAGTTTAAATAAAAATCTTAGGTAAAAGGTCCCTTAAGGGTTTTACGTAATTCAAAGGGGACAATGCAATAAAATTAACCGCAATAAAAGGATCGAAATTACGGAAATTTAAGACGTGCGAAGATAATCAAATCGAAGAGTCAAAAACAGAACCATGTACCTATATCATGTTGATACAATTGGAAGGATTCTGTATACTGTCGTATTTTTCTAAGGTGAGGTAACTGTAACTAATCATAGAGCATAGAGGAGTGTAATGTGTCTATGTATCCCTATCAACACTATGGATATCGGTTAGCGAAATAAAACTCCCGACACTCAATTTACAAATATATATATCTTAGTTGTTTTAATAAAAAGTGTTAGAATATGTAAGTGTATTTTTCTATTCAACATTTTTGTGTCTGATTATTTATTTATAGTCTAAAAACGGTTGTTCATTATTAAGTTTGCTGTTATGTTGTTTAGTTTATTTATTCATTAAATGAAAAGAGGAGTAGCCCCTCTTTTACGGACGGACGGCCATATCGCTTTCGAGAGATCTCTTCCAGGCAAGAATGTGAGAAAATTTTTTTAGATAACGCAAGCGCAAGAAGTGCAAAAATACATACTTAAGTCATATAGTCATTTAGGCAAAACGAATAAAAAAAAACAGTTAAGTTAAATCAATGTACCTAATTAAAAAAGCAATACTGACACTCCGTACCGAAGGTTTTGCCTTCTATTTCGTACTATCGTACCTTTACCATTTCGTTATGAGCAGAATTAAGACAAATTACTGAAAATAATTACTTCTAAATACAACCCGTTAACCTAATAAAACCATAACAAAACATCAAAATTCACGCGATGATATAATATCTCAGAGAATGCCTTTATGGGGCGTATTTCAAATTTTTATCAATTATGATATTCCATAGCCGCAGGCGCACTCCACGGGGAGTCGGGCAGGTTAACATGAAAACAGTTTCTATACATTTATAAATGTAAATGCTTACACGTCTTTGTAATTATTATTTTTATGACTTTCAAGATCGGAATACAGATATCAAATGTTTAATAAGAATATCCTTTCGCCGATACATTCAGGACTGTTTGTGAATCAGTGGGTGAAATTTTAATAGAATTAGAACCGATTAGAACTGGAATCCTTTAATACATCCCATATGTTGTTTATTATTCGTTTAATGAATTAATATTGGTACGAAAGATATTTACAGAGATCGTGTGAAAGTCTGAATCGGTTGTTTTTTACCAAAATAAGCTACCATCACAGCAGTGGCGCAACAATAGAGTGGCAGGGATGGCAACATGCCACGGGCCCCCGACCCAAGAGGGCCCCTGACCAAGAGATATTATGTTCTATGGATGAATGTGAAGACTCCAATACGTATTGGGCTAGCGTGGGGACTACAGACCATTCCCTCTCGCCTAAGAGAGAAGACCTATGGCCATTAGTGGGACATATACAACGTGTAATTGAGTACGCTGAAAATCTCGAAGTTTATTAAATTACATACACATAGAAAAAAATAACACAACAGAAATAGATTAAAATATTACAAAAAGACTAAATATTTCTCACAGGAATAAAGGAAGGAAAAAAAAAATAGGAACTGAGAATGAAAACTTTTGTCAGTTCATTCAAATGACAATAATTTTGATATTATTTTCTACCAGCATATAATACTACAGTTGTGGTCTCTGGCAGAATGACCAGCGCTGTGGGAAACACACATATTAGGTACCTACACACTTAAAATGTAGGTACCTTATTCTTTAAAAAAATTGCTGTTATTTCTTTTTTGATTATTATTATGCTGTGTTTCGTTAGTAATAAATGTTATATAATAGTAATAGGACAAGCGACCGCTAAATAGTCAGTTCTTTATTGACATGCTGATGACCGCGATTTTGTCTAGGGTAAAAGCAACTATGTAAAATTTTATATTATTTCCAGAATGTCATGTATAAAAATGCCTTTATAATTTTTATATATTATTCTTACAACTCGAAGGTCCTGCTTAAGCCCTGGCACTAATGGTTTTTATTCTAATGCGCAACAAAGACGTATGTATGTGTAACGATGTATTTGGTTTGATGGTTCAAAGTTCAATTAAAGGTGTTTTCTGTTAAACACCATTGTAATAATACTTCTTGGCGAGTGTATTCGATGAGGACGACAAGAACTGCCTGGCGTTTCCGGAAGATACCTATTCATATTGTACTTGTAAAGGGACAGGCCAGAAGCACTATTAAGAGTAGAGGAAGGGAGAGAATGTAAGGAACGTAGCGAGAGGAGGTTTGTAGTCTCTGCCTACAACTTTGGGAAACAGGTGTGACTTATACTCGTACAAACGAATAAAATATAAATAAAAATTCATAGTTTCTGTCTGATTTGATTTCAAACTCCTTTATTCACATTCCATTTACGAATTAAAATTTAAAAATAAAATCCTGTAAAATGCTGGCACAAAACTGAAAAATACTTTAACTTTTATCTTTATGAATAAGTCATCTGTTGATTTGAAGCTTTTCACTTACATTCGTTCTTTAAGACTAAATACTAAAAAATAGAATAAACAAACCCATCATTGTCAAACAAAACTAAGTAAAATAACGCACGCGAAGCTGCAGTATATAGTTTTGCTGATATAATATCCCTGCTTATCTATTTTATTATAATAGTTTCCTGATTACAGTTAGACAATATTAATTTAATCATACAGTAAACTGTCCCTCAGGCGAATTATAGCAAGCGATAACTGGAAATTATACTTTACTCTTACCCAGGCGTTGTTTTTAACCTAGATAACCTATTTCTTAAACGTTCTAAGTACCTTTACTATAAGCGTAGTAGTAATGTTTTCCAATATCGAGATCTTTTTTATAAGGTTATTTTATGGGGAAAATCTAAAGACGTTATTGCAGCTATACTAAATCAGTCTGGGTAGACACACAACTGTTAAGTCGTTTAAAAATAAAACTGTATTTCAATGCACGCCAAATATTAATTCGCTACTAATCAAGAGAAACCGCGTAATGAATACACAACCACAGAATTACCACACAAAGTAAATCTCGGTTATGAATTGCGGCATAATGTTTATTTTCAATAATATTATTTAATGTTACGTGCGAAACGAAAAACAGTGTTGTGTTTGTAAACGAAACAGAAAACCGCCAGAGCCTTGAGAAGTGCAGCTAACATATTCCATCTTAACCTATTTACGAGGTGAATTAAGCTTTCATCACACCACGATAAACTCAAACTTCAAAAGCAGTTTTGAGGCAATTGATAATCCGTACATAGATACATTAACGCGCGAATATAAACTCTAATTACTTTTAATAAGGATTAAATTTTATTTTATTGGCAACTATACACAAACATGCCCCTGGAAGCTTCGATCTGTTTACTCGTAAATCACGCTCATTGTTTAATTAAACTTCTATTTCGAAGCGTTGGCTTCGAGTCGGAGGATTCGCGCTAAATTTAATAATTTCACGTAAAGTGTGGGATGTAACTGCGCATTTAACTTTCGAATAATAACACGTTGCATTGTAATATATTGTTGGCGTGGCACGTGATTGTGTTATAATTTTGACGTTTGACAAAATGCAGAGAAGCGTTTAATCAAGCGAGACTTATAAATGTTGCTCTTATTACTTTTATGAGTTATTAAATATTGTTTCGATAATTAATCATTAGGCATTAAAAAAAATATCATATTGTATTTAGAGTAGGCTTCAGCGTGCGAGTCTCATCCCTGGAAGTAGGTTCGAACCCCGGCTTTGCACAAATGGACATTCTATGTAGACACTCGGAAAGCATCGTGAGGAAACCGGCCTGTGTGTCAGGCGTACCTATTAGAAAAAAACAAATGATCACGAAACAGATATACAAACAAATCTGGGACCCAAACCTAAACTGTTTGTTGTTGTCAAATTAAATAGTAATAATAAAAGTCTGTTATGTCATGATTATTTTATTTACTTTTTTAATACATTTATTCTTTAGTGTTACAACAGCTATTAATGCATTTTTCGTCTTTATATATCTGTATATTCTTTTTGTTATCTCTGAAACTGTTCTAGGATATATAATAGATTCAAGCGTTTTGTTTTCGTTGAGGATAATATTTACTTTAATATAGTGATGTATCTGTTTTTTTCTTTGTAATGAAAAAAGTCAGTTTCGGTCAAGACTTCAAGAGCAAGCTCGACCGTTCATTTTTATTATAGAAAAATTACAAAATAACATGCGATGTTCACGGTTTTTTCTTAGTTCAATTCAGACACATTATAGAAGAATGTTTTTACTATCTATGCGCGAAATTTAATTTATATATATTGAATTCTATAAACGATTCTATGACTGAAAAGTTTCTCTGTCAATTTCCGTTTCAAACATTATTTAAAGATTTTAGTATCCTCACACACTAAAAACATTGTGTATAGGTGAAATAAAACAAATATATTTTATATTAATATTTAATACTTACTACATATTCTTAACTATTCTTAATAATTTGGTATATCAGTATGTTTCTTCTATTAAAAATTCTTTTAATACTTTATCGTATCTTTGTGGCAAAAATTCACTCATTTCATTCCTCGTCAACCATTTTGATTTTATGTTTTTACTAACGGTTCCATCTTTGAAATTTGCGTAATAGAAGAAAACCTAAAATACACAATGTATGTAGCGACATCTATTGAAGGCTTAAAGAAACATTAGTGAAGTTGGAATAATCTGTGGTAACAAAAATTACTGTTCGAAATAATTGGTACAGTAGATTTTTATATAGATAAGAACAAATTCGCTTACGACAGAATACTATATATAGGCAAAACCATTTCTTGGTATTGCGAATGAACGTTTATTATTTTAATATTAACAAGTAAACAGTGTAATTTTTCGTAGATTGTTAAGGTGATAAAAATTGTCAGTTTTGCGCATGCGGCATAGAGAAATTGCTTCTGTAGCAATCTCACTACACATTTGTGTCTAGCACAATAAATTATGTAACAGAGAAGTATGAAAGAAGTTATTACAAACGATGCTGCGATGAGCAATCGCTGTGCTGATTGTCTAACTTTTATTTTCGAAAATTCATAGTTATTTGTTTAAATGATACTACATTAATAAAAGTTTATTCCTAGAAGATATTCTATTTAATAATTTTACCTTAGCTCCAACCTTGCCATCCAATTCAGAAGGATATTTGTATTTATAAAACCCACATGGTGCATTTGATAGAAATGTAACTTTTAATTCTTGTCCACATTGCTCTTGTAACACTCGTTCAGCTGTCTAAAAATTAAAGAAATATGCTGTTCACGTCTCATATTCTGACTTGGATATATATTATTTTAATTTTAAATTAATTAAAAAGAGTTCTTTTATTTCATATTCTTCCTCATGGTTGTTCTATGTAATATAAGCTGTGTAACCTATGTAGGTCTTGGAAGCTGTTGTTTGGTTCCTGTGAAGGCGCAGACGCGAACTACTAGAATCTACGTGTTTAAATAGACAATGATGATACACACTGAAATGTATATGGCATATCCCTTTAGTGCAATAAGACCAGTTATATTAATAATTGTTGTGTCTTATATATTTTTATCTATGTTTTTTTTACATATCTTCTCATTGAAGAAGGCATCTTAATTACTGCTTATTTTCATAAGATAGAATTGTATGGCATCAGAAAAAAATGTAACTATAATGCAATATGCTTTACAAAAACCAAACCTCAGCAGTGTAAAAAAAATTAACTCACTTGTCTTAGAGTCTCTCCCTCTTTCCAATGACCTTGAGGTAAGATAGTCTTTATATCATTGCCTAATTTCTGTTCAGTGACAAGAACAAGATGGCGCTGCAAACATCGATCTGAAGATGTGTTATCTCCCTTTTTGTCTGCATCTGTAATGTTAAAATTAAATAATGGTTTGCTTACTATATAAAACAATTATTTTGGAAATGATTACTAGAGTAGTATTTATTAGAAAAGCTCAAAACATATTTTTAATTTATGTTATTATTATTATACTTAAAATTCACATGGGACATGGTGTAATGAATGCAGCTCTACAAACGTTTTGTAAAACAAAAAAATGGCGATTAAAAAGAGTGGCGGAGAGTGTATTGCCATTCATTCTTCTCCCGTTCTATGCCCTTGATTTGAGAACTGGCAGTAAATGTAAAATTAAAAAGCATTAATATGTATTTCTTTACTGACATGTCATAAGTGTACATATGTTACCTATATGATTAAATGAATTTTTACTTACTTTTTTTAACTTTACATATAAATTTATATATCATGTGTAACATGTACTATGTAGCTAAATCAAATATTTTATTATTTACAGTCACCACAGTATAGTTAATTGTAATAATTACCTTTTCTTAAAATATTTGGGAAAGTAATTATGTAAGCTGGTTAATGATTTTCCACATTATTATTTTAACTTAAGAAGTAATAGGTTACCTGTTTCAATGGGGGCAAATTGAAACTTAGCCAATTCTTCATTTGCTGCATCTTCATAATCTTGGGCAGTTATTTTACTTACAGTATCCAAATCTACTTCTACTGACTCATTTTTAAGGAGCTCTGCCTGTTTTCTAGACACAACAGATTGTAGAAGTAAGCATTTTCATTAAAAACATCATTAACATTAGAAATATAATTGTTTTGACTTAATTATATAACTTTTTTTTAAGTTTAATCATATAAAAATAACAGTAATTTAAAGGTTTCTTACTTATCATTTTCATGTCTTAATTCATGATCTGATTTTAAGCTGTTTTCAACTTCTACAGTCCATAAGAGGTCCTTGAATTTCTTTTGAATTTCATTTAAAGGTGGTGTTACTATGGGTAAGCGTTCAACACAAACACTTGTAACAATATTCCATGAGTTAGCTAAAATAATAGAATCATGAATGAATCAGCTCTTACCTTGAGTATTATTTAAATATGGTATAAATTATTTGAAAAAATTAGTTATTAGAAAAACTAGGCTATCTGTATTAAACGCATATAAGACTTTGGTTAGGTAGAAAAGTATACAAACATATTTTTTTTAATATGAAAAAACTAGACTTATTTACAAATAGGTTATTCAAAATATACACAAACCTCGAGTTAAAATTCTATGACAAATATACTTTTCTGAGCGTAGAATGTTTTTTAAAAACATTGTCTTAGTCTTTTATTTAAATTATGCAATTGATTTAAATACTGAATAAACCTTTATTATTATTTTAAGTTATTCTTAATAATCAAAGTTTTTTTTAAATGTTGTTTGAAATGGAGTCATCTGTCAAGTGTCAACTATCAAAGGATAAGTGTCGAAATTTCTTCGATTAGACATTTCATTGACAATAATCACTGACTATTATCCACATAAATGATCCAAGACTTGAGACAAAGTCACTTTACGACAGGCGTGACCCACTAAACTGCGTCACGACCGATTACCACCAGCCACCAAAAAAAAAAAAAAAGGAAAAAAAAAAAAAAAAAACTTTTTCTTTGGTGAATTGCTTAAGAACAACTAGCATACAGACCGTGATAAAATAACAAAGGTATTTGTTAATTATTTATATTCTACCACCATCCTAAGAAAAAATAAGATGAAATTAATATTTTTCATGTTTTATTTACGATAGGAACGTAAACTAGAGTAGAAAAAATATTTTAAAACGACATCCTTATACGTAAAAATGATATCAAATAATAAATGATTCCTAAGATAGACTTCCATGATTTTGATATATGATGATAACAAACAAAGATTATTTTAACTTTTTTTGGGTTAAACAAATACATTTTAAATATTATTATATTCTATGGAAACAATAACAGTTTCGTGAATGATATCTTGTTATTATAATGTGACTAATAAATTGTTGCGATCGACATCCTTAATTTGATAGTATTTAAAATGCTCAAAAGCATTCAAAGTACTAATAATTAATGACTTTAAAACTACCAACCAATAAGACACATAGCTGTGAATAAGGTGACTCGTTCACCCATACAGATAAGTCCTGTAATATTTCGAGCTAAATAGCTTATTTACAGTTTCACAGTTTTATCTCTTGGCTAATTTATTTATATTATCCTACTACTTACTCGACATTGTGTAATCTTATTTCACTCGAGCAAAGTGTTCTTTTGTAATGTACTTCACTTCACTTCACTCTATTTATAATGGCGACATCTGTGTAAATCACAATTCCGCCAATGTCACGTTCTAAGTCTTCACACAGTGAGGATAGATTTGATAATTTTGATACATTGAATTTTATCTAAGCAGAGTTACCCAAAACAAAAATGACATCACAATAAATACAACACACACAGACATCTAATAATATATACAAGAGGTTAACATTTTACTACAAGAGATATGAAGGGGAGAATCTTATTTATAACTTTAATTTATTAACAGAAATAAATTTTCCTAATATTTTGACGTTCGAGCTGGATGGGAGGGAAAGTAGGGAGTTAAGGTTACATGGACGAGGGAAATCTGGAGAAAGATGGTCAAATAACGAGTCATTAATTAAAGAACAGTTAAAAAATATATGGTCTGTCGAGCCCTCATCCATACCACACTCGCAGAGAGAACTGTCTTTTATTTTAATTTTGGCTAGATGAAAGGGAGTACAAGCGTGCCCTATACGAAGACGGCGGATTATAGACGTGACCTTTTTGTTTAAAAACTTATATTTAAAAAACCACGGCGAAGAAGGGATTGAATACTGAATATTAGCATAGTGCCTGCCAGTTTTTTCTTTAGAAGATTGCCAATCAATAGTCCAGGATTTTAAAAGGTGGGAGTACGCAAGAGCTGATAGGTCGTGGGCCGAGATGTTGGGATGCTGACAAGATCCGCAGAAAATAGCACCTTTTGCACAAGAGTCAGCAGTTTCATTACCCGCTATACCACAATGACTAGGTATCCACAAAAGTACAATATGAATATCTTTTTTACTACACCTAAACAAAGCTTCTCTTATTTTTAGAATCGTATTATGTTTTTTTTTAGACCTGAATGGATTGGAAATAATTGCCTCTAAACAGCTGCGAGAATCGGAAAAAATTGTAACTTTATTTAGGTTGTGGGACTCAGCATACAAAACCGCTTCTAGGATTGCAAAAGCTTCACCTGAAAAAACGGAGGTCAATGGAGGAAGTTTAAAGCTCAATACTGTTTTGAATGAAGGGACCCATACAGCCGCACCGATGCACTCATTATTGGGAATCTTGGAAGCATCAGTATACATCGGTAACCAACCCTGCCAGTCTTTTGAAATTTTTTCCAGAAAACAAGTGGAAGCTTGGGTGGATTTTTTTTCAATTCCAAAGTTTAAAATTATTTTAGGATCAAAAATGAGGGATTCATAACTATTTAAAAACAAGGGATTACTAGGGAAACTTTCAACAGGATTAGGAAGACGAGAAAGTTTATTAAAACTGTGTAACAGGCATGGAACATTACCTGTACTAGATGGCATCGTGAGATTAGATAAGCGACGTAATTTGGACAAGATGGAATGTGAAGAGTATTGAAGGACTTTGATGAAGAAGCGGTCACTTAAAAATTGTATACGTAAATACAGGGGGGGGTCAACACATTCTATTTGGAGAGCATTGATGGGAGAGGATTTCATAGCACCAAGGATGATGCGTAAAGATTTCGATTGAATTTTGGAAATTTTATCAAGGGCTTGCTTGTTGCCAGGATCTAAAAGGAAGGTGCCATAATCAAAATGACTTCGTACCACAGCATTGTATAAAAGCTTTTGCGAGTAGGGGTGTGCTCCCCACCTCACACCAGATAATGAACGGAGAACATTAACACCCTTCTCACTTTTTTTTAATCACATGGTTAAAATGAGGAACACCGTTTAACTTTGAGTCTAAAATAAGGCCTAAAAATTTTACTTGCTTACAACACGATACCAAGGACCCTTTATATGAAATGTTACACCGTGGAACCTTGTATTTTGTAGTAAACGTGACCGCCGAACATTTGGGCACAGAAATAGAGAGACCATGATCATTTAACCAATCACCCAAATAATCCAAAGCCGAATTTAGGCGTGATGATGCCTCTTCAATAGAATTTGATGAAAAGTATAAGGCTACATCGTCCGCGTATTGAAGAATCTGACAGAAGGAATTCACAACAAGCTACAGGTCATAGGTGTAAATGTTGTACAGAAGAGGACTCAAAACAGAACCTTGAGGTAAGCCCCTCCAAATAGATCTAGGAGACAGCTCCGTATTTTGAGATCTTATAATAATATAACGATTCGAAACTGCATTGCAAACAAAACGTACCAACTTCTCAGGAATACTCAGCTGAAGCATTTTTTGCCTGAGCACCGGAACCAGCACGTGGTCATACGCAGATGCGATATCCAAGAAAACACCCACCAGGAACTGTTTCTTTTTAAAAGCAATGCGAATGTCGGTCGTTATTATACTTAGGCTATCCATCGTACTTAAGCCTTTCCTGAAACCAAACTGGGATTTTGCAAAGATATTGTTACTTTCACAAAACTATTCTAAACGAATTTTAATCAAATGTTCCATGATTTTTAAAAGGGTAGAAGACAAAGCAATAGGTCTGTATGAAGAGAAATCTGATGGATCTTTGCCAGGTTTTAGAAGCGGAATGACGATTTGTCTGTTCCACGATTCAGGAATAATTCCAAGATCGAAAAAACAGTTTACTAAATCTAGAAAGTACCTCTTAGTGCCTAATGAAGAATTTATGAGGAATGAGTAAGGGATTCCATCTTCTCCAGGGGAAGAGTCAGAGAGACCATTTAATGCTTTGTTAAGTTCTTCCAAGGAGAATTGACAATCTAGACTGTTTGAAGAGGGGATGTAAGAATTATACTTATAAGGAAGACAATCATAAAAAGGGACTGATGGAGGAGCCAATTTGTCGGCAAAGGAGGTAATCCAGCTAGACGGATCATTAAATGGGACATCATAAGAATTGAGGGAACAACGGAATCTTCTGATCTGCCTCCAAACAACAGACGAAGGGGAACCAGGGCACATGCTCTCACAGAACTTATGCCAACCAAGACGTTTCTTATTATTTAGAAGTCTGCGAGCAGCTGCAGAAGCTTGTTGGTAGACTAAAAAAAAGGGTGCGTGTAATTATGTACGCGCGTAAGAAGTTATACTTCTTTGGCATTATTAAAAATAGTTTGGCTTTGTTCCACCTCCAGTTTTTGATGTTTCACAGCGATAAGATGACAACTCTTTTTTTTGTATTCAATTTAGTGCACTTACACTGATTCATCAATAGTTTTTTGTCTCTTGTCCATTTGCTAGATTAAATCAGAAAAATTACATGTTTTGATTAAACAAAGTGGTCATTTTTTTAATCAAAACATTACTCGATAATAATAATACATACGGATAGTTAACCTCAATTGTATTGAAGCACTTAGGAAGGTTGATGAGCACAGTTTTTTTTCACAAATATTAATTAGTATTGGTTTAAATATTCAATTTAAATCACTTCTGATTATAATTCAAAAAGCATTGCTAAATTTCTTTGAAAAAATAATTAAAACTCCTTTATTTGTTTAAAAGGTAAATGACAAATGTCATTATGGTCATTCAAAATTCTTGGCATACGAACTTCACGCATATTCTATTTCTTTTTACTTGTAGATTGTCTTATTCCTATCTCGCTCGCGCACGCTATAATCACACTCCTAATTTTGTGTCACAGGCGCATCGTAAAATTTCACTCTCATCAATTTTTCATAACGCGCCTAAAGAAGTATAACTTCAAAAATTTTCCAAGGTCATGCAAAGACTGTATGACCTTTCTGCCGTTTTTCTTTTTCGAATCATCTCAGTACATTCGGAATCCCACCAAGGAGGAGAAATTTTCCTTTGTGTAGAAGATTTGAGTGGAATATGTAAACTGGCAGATGAGGTGAGGGAGTTGACAAAATCATTGTATGAAGATAGGCAGTTTTCAGCAGAGACTGCGGGGAGCGCAGCTATCTTAGAGTCAATAGAAGATGAAAAGTCTGACCAATTGGCCTGATTCAGTTTAAATTTTAAAAGAGGGGAAGGGCGAGTAACGCTCCTTAAATTGGTTGGGAGATCAATTAAAATTGAGAAGTGGTCACTCCCACAAGTGCTCTTAAAAACACGCCAGGATAGAAAAGGGAAAAGATCAGGAGAACAAAGTGATAAATCCACTGCGTTAGCGGGATTCTGAGATGGAAGACTCCTTCTCGTAGGACAACCATTATTCAAGACACTTATGTTTATATCATCGAGTAAATCTAGTAGAAGGGACCCAAAAGAATCTGAGGAATGACAACCCCAAGAAACATGGTGGGCATTGAAATCACCCAACATGACAACAGGAGGAGGAACCGAAAGGATAATAGAACGTATATCAGACATGAGGTCGAAATGGGGATGGGGAATATAAACAGAAATAAACGAGATATTAAAAGCTCTCATAGCAACAGCATTAATACCATCACAATGAGGAAGAGATAATGCGTGGAAGGTGAGGGATCGGCTGACCAAAAAGGCACAGCCAGCATAGCCATCATCCCTGTCATCTCGGAGACACCGGTATCCAGAAACCCTAAAGCGGGAACCCGGCAATAACCAAGTCTCCGAAATGGCTAGAATAGATGGAGCGAATTTATTGATAAGAAAGGTTAATTCTGATTTTTTACTGCGAATACTGTTACAGTTCCACTGAATTACCAGATTCGCCATTTTTGGTGACGAATGAGTGGAGCAAATTAATTTTTTGGGCAACGTGGGACGGTATGGGGATGTCATCATACTTGGATAGCATATTACAAATGACTGCCCATAAGCAGTCAAGAAGATTTTCATTTGGGGAGACTTCATTGTTGATAAGGGAAGGGGAGCTTACGGCACAACCATTGGGTAAAGAGGAGGGTAAATTGGAAGTAATGGCCTCATGGGCCGCCTTATCAAAGGATTTTCCTGATGTTGGTCTAGAGCGAGGAGGGAGAAATACAGTTTTCCTGTAAGATGTAGTCTGACGGGAAACTTGGGAAGGTAAAGTAATGGGCTGGGATAAAGAGGAGGGGGTTGTTTTTACAGAATCTGCAAAAGTTTTGCCACTGATAGGTCTAAACCGAGCCGATGCTTCGAGATAAGAAATGCTCTCTTGAGACATAAAACTCTTTATATTTTTTTGTCGATTATGTTCAGGGCAAGCTTTGTTGGTCGCAAAGTGTGAGGCAGTACAAAATAAACATAATGACTCTGTTTCAGGGATATTACACTCATCACCAGAATTTGCTAGACTACAACGAAAACACCTAGGCTTCGATAGGCATTGTGACTTTACGTGACCAAACCTACAACAGTTAAGGCACTGAATTGTAGGGAGTTGGTACGTTTCAACGCGGAGGGAACTATGACAAGAGAATATTCTCTCAGGAAGGGTTTGACCTTGAAAAGTTAGAACAACGGTTTGTGTTGGGATCCAATTAATTTGACCATCGGAGTTCGTCTTGCGGTTTAGGCGTCTGGCCTTGAGGACTATACCTGTACCTTCGGGAATTTCCAAAGTTTCGACAAATTCCTGCATCGACCAATCAGCTGGGACACCTCTCACAAGGCCCATACGGGAAACATTATAGTTAGGAATCGTAACAGAATAGTTGCTGGAAGGTACAATGGGATTAGACACAAAATTATTCGCATCTGAGCCCGACTTAAACTCAACAGATATTATATTCATTACGTCCCACTCTCTTAACACCATCTCGAACAATGTTGGGTATTTTATTTTTTACCAAGAAGTGACCAAATTTAATTGGGCGGATTGATGTACCAGCGGATGGGTCAGATTCAGGGCAAGAAACATGGACTAAAAAAAGGGCCCTTGTCATTGACAAGGTATGACTTGGGAGAGCCAGTGAGAGATGGATGGGAGTAAAATCCTGGGTTGACGTCATCAACAGATGACCGGACATCGGTCATTGGTTTTTTGGAAGGTTCCACTAAAGATTCATTGACAGTATCAAGTCTGCGCTTGACACCAGGTTGGGGCAACAGTGGGGTGGATAAATCCATTGATTCCACCGGAGAAGAGACCCTATCCGGAGGATCAGGGGGGTCTGGAGGGCGTTTCTCCATTATAGACTACCAAAAATATAACAAGGTAAAGGGAGAAATATAACAAATAAATAAAAATAACTTACGTAATTAGTTGATGTTATTAATTAACCACCACCAATAGGATAAGTCAACTTATATTCATTAAACTACGAGAAAAAATAGAAAATACTAAATAATGATATCCGAAACACGTGTAAACACTTATACCCGCAACGACGGAATCCCTTTTGTAATGTAGAGCCACAGTAAAAATTCAATTTGTCAATTTGACATATGCAATGCTTCAACGCTTGTGCGATTTGTCTACAATAAGATTCCAACAATATTTAATCTCATGTTCGTCGTCAAAATTCTCATAATTTATTCTTTTTCTTTATTCTTATTTGCCGCGGGTTGTCGTAATTTGTAAATATTCGGTGCCAATTAATATTTTATTTTAAAATCATCAAATTTTTCGTAAGTTTTTTGTATTCAATTAATTTTTTTATTAATTATTTACAAGTTTTTGTTTTTGTTAAAAAATACAAGTATGAGTTATATGATTCCGGATTCGGATTATGTATAAAATGGAAATGTGTACAATTTATACAACATATTTATTTATTATTAAATCAGACCAATAACAAACAGAACAATTTTGTTGAATTCTAAACTCTTTCAGATTTGTTTGTAATGGAAGCAACAGGGGATAGCAACTTGGACCTTGATGAACCATCAAAATGGGGACTAAAATTGCTTCTCAATCATGAATATCCTCTGCAGACAAAACAGCTACTTATACCAAAACCAAATCAGATCCTTGATTTGGTGCCGCTTTCAGCAAGGTTTGTATAAAGGTTATAAACTAGGCATCTGTACTATTTTGTTAAATCTATAATTTGTTTTAATAAAAATAATTATTGTAGATATGTGAAGTATTACTGTGCGAAAAGAATGCAAAAGAAGCGGCCCATAATGGATTATTTTAATACAATTAATGCACAAAGGATACATGGTAAGCCATAAGTTAGATCTTCTATCAATATATAGGAATTATAGTAGTAATTACAAAATAAACAGGAATTTGTTGTACGGAAATCTTTCAAAGAAATTTATGATATTTTATTTTATTTCTATTATATTTCTAGGTTGCCCCATTGGTGGTATTGGTGGTGGAACTATAGGTAGAGGATTCAAAGGAGAATTCTGTAGATTTCAGTTGTATCCTGGTATATATGAATACATAACTGTACCAGAATGCCAGTTTATAGTCAATATTAGAAATGAACAGAATGTAACTATATTTCAGTCAGTTTTGTCTACATATAAGTAAGTAACAATATTTTAATATTTATAGAATTAGTAATGTAAAGAATACTAATACACTTCATAACCTTTCTTTAAAGTAAAAATATACAGGGATAACAAAATAATATCAGTTACTATGAGCCTTGGTGTTACTTTTACCTGAATTGGTATTTAAATTTCCTAAAAATTTCTTCAGCTTGATAAATAACATTGACATTTTTATATTTTCATGAAAGTTTCCTGTGGAAAATACAGTTATTTAAGCCAATGTATCAAGAATTATCTGATATATTAGAGTTTGATTCACTTACATAATAGTTAACAAAACATTATAAATGAGTCAGAATTTCCCATTCTCCATATACAATTTTAAAAAGTTGATAATTCTACAATGTTTATAGCAAACCAAAGAAAGCACCGACATCTTGGGAATGGAATCTAGACAGTTCTCAATGTGAATATACTGCATTGTATCCAAGAGCGTGGACCACTTATGACCTTTCCAAATATGGAATAAAATTAGTCTGTCGCCAAATATCACCGATTATACCGCATAACTATAAGGTGAGTATTTTATAGAAGTTTATAATTGTCGTTTGTTTGTTCTGAAATACAGATTGATACATTTAAAGAATTTGATGTTCTGTACATAATATGCTGACCACCGTGTTGGAAAAGCAAATAATCTAATGCACATATTTGTATCCCTTAAATCTCGGTTTACTTGCCTGAACCAACAAAAATGTTCTAAAATGTTTGAGTTTGGTACAGCTAAAATTCTAAAAACTGCAAAAGCTGAATCACTAAGCAAAATTATAGTTAAAAACGCAAGAGTAAAATAACCTAACTTAAACTCGATGTAATATGTAAATTTATAGCATCATTCATAATTTTAATGTCTGGCAAGGAATATGTTCCCGATGTCCTTATAATAGTTGTTCTATAATCTATCCAGTTAGAATCTGATTTAAATATTTTATTAAAAAAAATATTATAATAATCGAAATTACAAATTGTATGGAGTAAGAACAAAACAAGCTTATGAGATTAACTTTGTCTTATATTTAATTGGTATTTATAGTCATGTTATCAGTAATAAATTGAACGCAAAATTTTTTTATAAATTTCTTTATATCCTCGAATTATAGTCATAAAATCTAGTATAAATCGATAACAATTGAAATCTTAAAATGAAGATAATTGAGCTTTAGGATTATCTTGATAAGGAAATGTAACAATGTGTCATAAAATCAATGCATCTAAATTATATCAATTACAGTAATAAAGCTATGTGATAAATACTTGAAGATTCCGTTTTTTTTGAAGTTATACTTCTTTAGGCGCGTTATGAAAAATTGATGAGAGAGAAATTTTGCGCGCGCACCTGAGACACGAAGTTGTCAGTGTGATTATAGCGTGCGCGAGCGAGATGGGAATAAGACAATCTACAAGTAAAAAGAAATAGAATATGCGTGAAGTTAGCAGCTATGCCAAGAATTTTGAATGACCATAATGACATTTACCTTTTAAACAAATAAAGGAGTTTTAATTATTTTTTCAAAGAAATTTAGCAATGTTTTTTCACAAAGACCTATTGTTACTTAGTTAAAAGGTTATGAAACATACCAAGTTATTAAATTGAATTAATAATATAATAAATAATAATAATAATTGTTATTAATATTAATGAATAATTGAATAATATACTAAATATTAAATATTATTAAATTGTTTACGTTAAATATTAGTTATTATTAATTAATTATATTTAAAAAAAATAAAGAAAGCCAAAGAAGTATAACTTCTTACGCGCGTACATAAGTACACGCATCCTTTTTTTTAAATTATTGAACTGAAAAAACGTAAGATTTCGATGAGGAAAAGGAACAATAATCCTAAACAACTGGTTAGGTATAAAAATTATTTTTCAGACATGCTTTAGAACGTCGAAAAAATTTACTTACTTGTGTGAAAACAACTTTTTTTCCGTTAATTCCGCTCGTTTATAACCGTAAATAACTTAATTAAATTGTTTTAACTAATGTACTCTATCTTCTCTTGCTGTCGTGTCGTGTGAAAAAAGAGATGACAGTGCTTTTGTAAAAATTATGTAATTTTTTATATACCTAAATGATTTGATTCTCTTCCAGTTAAGTTTACAATTATATTTATTCCAGGACTCGAGTCTACCCTGTGCGGTTTTTGTTTTTACCGCCAAAAACGTGTGTAACGAACGTCGCACCGTAAACATAACGTTTACATGGACCGAGATACCAGTTGGAGTGAATAAACGTAAAAATAGTGGTAAGTGCTTTATATAATTTGTGTCTTAATACTGGGAAGTCCTCGGTTCGCATCCTGACGAATAAGTAATGTATGTATGTATCTAGTTGTTGCGCGGTGACCTTTTTCGCACGCCCGTGAGATGTTGCTGTAGGGGTTTAGGGCCTTGTCCTACCCTTTAGAGGATTTGATGTTTTCCCAGGTCACATCTTCTAAAGGAAAGAAAGAATAACGCAACGACATTACCTGTTAATTATTGAAATACTTTTAAAGAATTAATTATATCAAAATGATAAATTACGTATCGCACATTCACAAACTTGCGTTAGAATACTACAATTTGAATTAACAGTGACAAATTCTGTAGATCTTTTATGTTTAATCAATCACGATATTTAATCGGTTGTCATGGTTACCAATGACGCTGATCGAGAAATAGTAATTACGAATATGATCTTGTATTTAATAAGTATAAGTCAACCTCTACGTAGCCTTAAAGTAATAATGAAACAGACATATTAATTGGTATAGATTTAGTAGACGATTTTCCATTTTTATGTTACGTGTGTTATTTCTTATCAATCTTGTTAGAACGCGTTCTTCTATTGTTTTCTTTTTTAGTTGTAATTGTAACTTTAAACTGTTTATCTATTATTACTGCGATAAAATGATTTACACAATTCCTGGGATTGATGAAGATAATTAATGCGTTAATTAATGGTTGTACGGACCATTGTTACTATAAAGTTAATCAAGGTCATTTGAATCAATCAATCTTTATCACGGCGTATAATTATTACTAGCGGCCTGATCACTTCTTACGTATTTTGAAAATAAATATATTATTCGAGATCAACATAGAATTAATTGATTCAATCTGTTCAAAACTATTTTTTTTACAAACCTACAAAAGTACAAATATTTCTTCTTCATTAATTTCATTTGCAGTCAAGTATCCAAGGCCTCTTGCCTTTGTTAGTGACAGCCTACCAGGTTCACTTCCCAGTCGAAACGAAAATTATTAGGAAATATATATACCATTCGAAAACTGCAAAGGGTGCCCTTTAATTAGGTAGGTAGCACTGAAAATGTTCATATAATGAATAACGGCTTAATGTTGCCAATACTTTTATTGTTTTTCGAAGTAATCTCCGTTCCTCTCGATGGAACCACTGAGAAAAGCAGTGGGCCCATTTTTCCTTAGGGGTCTCTTCTATGGCATTTTCGTACGCTTTCACCGCATCTTCAGAGCTCGTAAAGCGAATACCTTATTTTATCTTTAGTTCTTGGGAATAAATGAAAGTCGCAGGGTACCAGGTCAGGACTGTATGGCGGATGACTCATTATCTAGATACCTGTCATAGTCAAATATTCAACAGTCCGTTTTGCGGAGTGCGCTGAAGCATTGTCTTGGTGAGGAAGGATCCTCCTTCGAGGGCGCTGCTGTCGAATTTTTTCCAAGACAACAGGCAAACAGCGATTGACATACCAGTCTGCAGTAACTGTCCTTCTTATCTTCTAGCACACCTGTCGCGAAATGACCTTTCCGACCAAAGAATGAGGCAATCACCTTCTTTCCTTGACTTCTTCCATTCTTTACCTTAGTTTGCCGATCCTCGAAAGGAAACACCCACTGAGCTGATTGTCTTTTGGTTTTGGGTTCGTAGCAATATATCCAGCTTTCATCACCTGTGATGATGTCAAATACAGTATTTGTGTCACCGCCGTTGAACTTATCTAACATTTGGCGACACCAGTCCATGCGAAGGTGTTTCTGGTCGTCGGTTTTTACGTGGAACAAGAGTTTTAGATTTGCCGCCAATTCACAAAAAACAAATGACAAATGAATGCAATATACTACATTAGGTTACCAAAGAGTTCTAAAATTGAAATTCAAAAAGTTTTCATTAGCAGTGTTTCTAACTGGCCAGATCTAAACATTTTCAGTGTTACCCACGTATAAAAGGTATTTTTTTTGGGCAGTCTAGGATGTCTTGGCTCCATAAATTTGAGATATATGTAATATTATGTTTAAGATATAAAATAGTTTTTTTCTGTTGCAATTTTATCGTTTCGTTTGTATTGATTGCATTTTTTTAACGTTTTTATTTATAAGGAATTTGAAATTTGTACTGTAATGGAGCCCTTTACGCACCAAAGGTTAACCGCTCAGTGGTTTTTTCTTTACCACCATAATATTAAAAAAAGTAAATTTATATTTTACATCATTTTTCAGGGAAGCTAGACTTGGAGAGGTATTCAGAAGAGAATACGTGCGGAGTGACATTAGAACAAAGAGTTTCTGACACTCAACTCACGTTTACGATAGCCAAGAATAAATCCGAGAACGAGACAATACACGAGGGTTACTGCTTGTGGAATTCGTTGAAGACGTCCAGTTATGTATGGGAGTGTATTAAGAAGAATGGCAAACTAGAACCAGATCCTAGTCAAAGTGCAACTCCTCCCAAAGGCGAAAAGGATAAAATTGATGATAGCGATAAACCAAAGAAAATTTATAAAAGTAAGTTGTAGTCTTCTTTAGGTGCCACTTTCTTACTATTGGTTTTCTGTTAACAACTTTAATTGTCGGGCTAGTCTAAACAGTTCTTCGGTGGATGTGATGCCGGTCCACTTCCGTACGTTTTGCAGCCATGAATCTATCCTTCTACCAATCCATCTCTTTCTTTTATTTTTCGTGGGGCAATGCGTTACGCATACTCTTCCGCGGCATAGAAGTTGTCTCGTGGTGATGGGTTATTGGGACTCGCAGCTGTGTATACCCAATAAAACCTCACGGCGCCACCAGAAATCGAGACAGGACACGGTAACAGCGTAGCATTGTCCGCATCCAGCCACGCGATCAGCCGTTGAAATCACGGTACTCTATGGCTACAAATCCGATTTCGATTGAAAATTAGGGTGCTTTTTCGATATTTAATCAAAATAAGGTGAAAAAATATTTTTTTATAATCAAATAAATTACAGCGTATTGAGGACATAGAAAGGTTTACTTTTCACCAAATGTCGTGGAATTTTACTTTTTTGTTAAAGATGAAAATTAAAAACCCAAAAACTTTTTTTGTTGAATTTATCACATAAATTTTGAGGTTATGTGAAAAAAGTGTAAAAACAAAAGTTATAGATCTTTTTATTATCTACAACTTTGCCATTTGACTTTTTCCCATAGGACTTTTAGTTTTGACGGAAATCGAGATAAACCGTTTTTTACTCTTAACACCTCACCCTTTTCCCCTTCCCAACCTCAGATCGCTCGTAAATTATTTTTCCTTTATTTTTTTTAATTTTCTCCTCCTTTTGCAATGGTTTGCATCCTACTATTATTTTTTTCACTTTTTATTATTTTTAAAGGGCCCCGGGTATACCTATAGGCTTTTTTAAATTCATGTTTTAATGTTAGTTTTGTACATTCATCGTATTTAATGAGTAAAATCGTAAATTGGCATGTGTAAGTAAAAATTAACACTTAAATTCCTTCTTTGTAGTGCCATTAAGACTGTTAATTGGTAATGAAATACATACTAAATCTAGTTGCCATGTTGGATTTGGCCGCGTACCAGCACTATGTGGAACCAGCTACCTACTGAAAAAAAAATCCTGGCAACTTGCGAGCCCTCTAGCATTGAGAGTGTCAATAGGCGGCGGTATCACTTAACATCAGAAGAGCCTGCACGTTTGTCAACCGTTCTATATTTTTTAACAATAAAAAAAATTGAAAGATTTTTTCCGGTTTTATAAATGGTGGAAAATGCAAATTTTAATTGCAGATGATTCCATTGGTCTGTCGAACTCCATATCATTGGATCCTGGTGGATGTGATGTTGCAGAGTTCTGCCTTGTTTGGGATATGCCTATGATAAAATACAAGAAAGAGAGAAAGGTGCATAAACGGTTAGTATATAATATAATTCTAATATATATATAATTCTGGTTTCATATATATATAACGTATTGAAGATTCTGTGGAAAAAAACGTGTCAGATGACGATGACTAAGTATGTCATGTATGTATGTTTTTGCCCACTGCAATATTTCCGAACCAATTGTACAGGTGAGGACAGGTTATCAGGTGAGCCTCCTGCCCGGTTGCCCCTTGTTCTATAAAATTTTTATGGCCTTTGTAGTTATTCAAATTAAATTTATCTTATTTTCTTTGACACTTTTAATGATGTACATACTAACTAATTAATTTGTCGATTTCGATCTAATCATTATTTTGGTTTGTATTTATTGTGATACTATAATAATATATTCCGAAACTTTGTGATCTTTAATATATTTTCACTTCACGTAAGAACCTAACAACCCTACGGATCCCTAAGCCCTACAGACTTACCCTAACTCATAAATAGTGAATATATAAATAAGTAGGGGATGTCTGCTCCAAGAGACCTAAGGTAACAGACGGAGCCCTACGGGTAGGATCAAAGGTCCGAGGTGGCGGGATTATCTCAAAGCTACCGGGCAGGCTCACCACGATAATTAAGGGCTTGAAGTAGTCTTCGCCACTTTGAGAGGAAGCGAAAATGAATAAGATAGAGCAATATTCTCTGTCAGCAGTTGGTCAATGTTCAAATGTAATCTGAACAGTCCCATTGAGCGTAAAACCACTCTTATCATAGATTTTGGTTGGGGCCCGATAAAATAAAAAGGGTGCGTGTACTTACGTACGCGCGTAAGAAGTTATACTTCTTTGGAATTATTAAAAATAGTTTTTGATTGCATGCAAATAATTAATTACAATTAAATAATCAAAGACTGGAAAAAGTGTGTGTGTGTCAGCTACGACGCACGATTGGAGTTTACTCCTTACGAACGATAAAATGGCGATAATGTTCTGTGGCTGTCGACCATATTTTCATACTAAAGGTGGTAAGAATATATGTTTTTATAATATAAATGTTTGTAGTAGTAATAAAACGTACCTACATCATCTATGCCCAAATACGATTTTCTTTCTGTGACCAAAGTTACCTTTATAGTAAGAGAAGAATAAGAATGAACAATCTTTTTAGTTTTAATTTCACTGACCATTACTATTGACAAAACTATGGCACGCTAGACAATCTGCTTTTATTTTTTTACACCTGTCAACACTGACAATGTTGTAACGTGGCTGTCAAAACGTGAATTCAAAATAGAAAAGTCTGTGTAATGTATTCCATCTCATTCTTTTACACGTTCAATCCTACAGATATATATGTTTGTCTCTTTCTACATAACGCCTCAACTTTTCGTGTTACACTTGATTTTACTCCTCATAAAATTTCCGTACCGGGCCTTATAACTCAAATCGTTTCTTAAGGAGTAAACTCTATATGTTTGTCTCTTTCTACATAACGCCTCAACTTTTCGTGTTACACTTGATTTTACTCCTCATAAAATTTCCGTATCGGGCCTTATAACTCAAATCGTTTCTTAAGGAGTAAACTCCAAAAAGGAGTCATTATAGTCAATAAAGTTCAGTTTACATTTGAAGAATTAACTAAATAAATATTTATTATTATAAATTCAACTTATGCAACTTCATTCTGTTAATTTTGTGTCACGGTGCGCGCGCATCGTAAAATTTCACTCTCATCAATTTTTCATAACGCGCCTAAAGAAGTATAACTTTAAAAAGGTCTAGATATCTCTTTATTCTACTGAAGTCATTTGAAAAATATTCTTATTCCCATTTAATTTAACTAAAATTTTCAGATATTACACAAAATATTTCGGTAGTGACGGTATAGCGGGTGCGAGCATAGCTGCGTACGCGCTTCGGAACTATAAGAGTTGGGAGAAGCAACTCGCAGAGTGGCAGGACCCAATTCTTAATAACAGGTAAGGTTTCTCAATTATGAGTATTCTATTGTACATACGATACACAATATCACCACTGTGAACTCACTCTGCATACAAAGATGTATGTAAAATGTATGTACAAGGATGTAAGATGCAACGTCTTTGTTAACGGTGATCTATGCCACAGACTAATTTTGGTCCTTCGTATCGCAAAAAACCTGGCCTACGCCGTCGCACATATCCCCTAGGCACAAAGAAAGTACAAAATCAACTCTGTAACTTCCGATCCCGACTCAATTAGAAGTTTTTGGACCTGCATCCCAAGGATTACGCATTAGCGCAATCGAACTTGCATACAAAAACGTCGGGATCGCTGTAGCCATTGGAGGTTACAGAGTAAGGAATCTGACGTTAATAAGACTAGATAATATATTAGATTGGCCGAATGTAAATTAATTAAAAAATCAGTAAACATTGTCGGAGGTAATGATGGTAAACTCACACTATCTTTATTCATGTAGGTAAACAAGTACACTTATGAATTGTCAAGTTAAATTAATTGTAAATTTACATTTACTACCAGTTCGCAAGTCAAGGGCGTTGAGCGGGTAAGAAGAACTGGCAAGAAACTTTCCGCCACTCTTTTTAATCGCCAAGTATTGGCATACAAATTGTTTATGATTGGTATACATTATGATAAAAACAAACTATTAGAAGCACAATAAATATCTTGGATTATCTTTAAATTGGGAAATTAAAAGCATATATTTATGGAACAATAACAGCGTCGTGTGTGGTTTAATACACGTTAGAAGTATGTTGAATTAATTCGTTAAGCGTCTTACAATGGGTAATTCAGATTAAAACGTCATTGCACGTATGTGTATTAGGGCGATATGTGGAATTGACGGACCAATATATATACTATAGTATATTTCATTACAAGTGCGGAAAGCCTGTCATTGCAAAGAGTTTCGACAAATATACAGTTGACAGTCGGAACAAGTTGCAATGACGGTTCCGCACGTGTTAGTTGAGTTTATTGTGTTTTTATTATTTAATTAAATTGCATAATTTTTTCGCAACTGTATTAAAAAAATTATTTCAATTACCTGGAAAATTAAATGACATTCTGACGCGAGACAGCTTGGTCACTTGTTAAAATCCAATACATTTTTGATGTACGGGATTCTTAGCTCTTGTCTCGTTCTGAATCTCACCCTATGCATAATAAGGAATAGACAAGTAATGAGGTAGTGATGAGAAAATATATAAATTTCAAGTGATCTATAGAATCTTATGTTTAGGCGCGGGTTAACTAGATGGCTTGAGTTTGCTATGTATAAATTGTAAATTATGTACAAACGACTGTGGAATCCCTTTTGCCTTCACTTTAGATTTATAAAAATTATATATAAATATATACACTGCATATACGGTCAATAACAGTTACTACAGGACAGGACCTACTGTCGCACTTTGTACCTATCACCTTAACATTGTAAACCAATTATTATAATATTTTTCTTACCAATGTGTGAATTAATGACCTAATTTATTAAAGTCATTTATAGTGTTAGTGTAATTTTCATTTTCACAAATTTTGCAACATGAAAAATGAGAAAGATTATACAACATATGCTTACTAACATTTCTTCAAGTAAACAGTTGGTAAACCTTTACGCGAGCGAAGTTGTGGGTAATTTCTAGTTATTATATAATTGTTGTTAATAAGATAGTTTACGTAACCTAAAATTTTATTTTCTAATATGTTCGGTTCTACATATTAACAATTTACTATATATTTTTTTAATTTGCAGCAATATACCAGATTGGTTAAAAAGTGCCTTAATGAATGAGCTTTACTACGTGGCGGACGGTGGGACTATTTGGTTTGATGTCAGCGAAGACTTTCCTGAGACTGATCCTAGGTACTATACTCTGCATATATAACTCTTATATAAGCCTTTAAGTCATATAACAAACACAAATAATTGTGTTCGTTGGACAATAAATAAATAAATAGAGATTAGTACCTAAAGAAAATTCTCTATTCTTCTTCTTTCTCTCTAGTTAGGAAACTTAGTTTTTCAAACAATAGCAGCCACACTATGCAATATTGCAGTAATGTCCCGGCCATATAGCCAAACATGTTTTGTATAGCCACATATGGCCGATGTTGCCCGATGGGTGGCCGGACGATCGCTAGGCTATCGAATTCAACTGCAATATTGCACAGCCAGTTCTATTGTTGTTTCAGTCACTCTCTTTGTTATGGCACAGTGTATCCTTTTCTACGCGACATGACGTTTGCTATGAGTGAAGTGTGCCTGTTGCTATATTCTGTGTTTTGCGATCAGCTGTATTTGACGTTAGATTACTACGTAAAAATGACTGCTTTTGACATTCAAGTTCTTGAATAATTTATTATCAAGGCATATTTCTAGACTCAAATTGTCTACAGCTTCACGCCTATTTAAGTAAGGTCGAATCCACAATCTCTTCTTTTTCTGTATCTTTTTTAAAACAATATAAGCTGCTGCGACAAGTGTGATTTCGTCAGCCATTGTTGCCGGTTTGTGTAGCCCGTTTAGGAGTCTGCATCATGGGCCATACTATTGCAGACATATTGCAACACATTGCCCAGCCATAGATTGTTCGGCCATCAGCTGCATTAAAATATTTTTGTAATGGCCGGGCAATTAGTGGCCAACAGTGCAGCCATCAATTGCAGCAAAACATGGCCCGTTTAGACGCGCCATTATACATATTTTTTAGGTAATTTATTATTTTCGATGTTTTCAGACATGATTTCGGTGTATTCGGTTATTTGGAGGGTCATGAATATAGAATGTATAATACATACGATGTACATTTCTATGCATCGTTTGCCTTAGCACAATTGTGGCCTAATTTACAAAGGTATAATTGCGTATAAATTTTTAAATTTGGAACATTGTTTTGAAATTTATTACGTAGTAAGTTGATCACGCATGGTTTTACAACTGATTAGTTATGCAGGAATTTGAGTCGCCTTCTATATTTTATTATTTATGTCTAAATGTTGTATGAATGAATATTTAAAAAGTATAAAGAGCATTCCATGTCGCATCTAAAATTGTTGTTGTTGGCCTAGTCGCTTCAGCGTTTTCGAACCCAGGCTGAGCCCCAATGGACGAAGAAGAATGAATGAAGTTTCCTTCATGAAGAAACTGGGGCATGCCTTAGATCCAGAAAGTCGACGGTGTGTGTCAGGCACAGAAGCCTGATCACTTGCCTATTTGAAAAAACAAATAATCACGAAATATATAAATATCTTCCAATATTGTTTTACTTTTTTTAAAGTTGGGTGTAAAGTCTTTACCTATGTTTTTGTAGGTTGTATTACAATATATGTACCGAGACGCGATAGCTCTGGAGACTACTCAATGCCGACAATCTCTATATGATGGGAAATATGTAAAATTCAAAATAAAAGAATCCATTCCACACGATTTGGGCGATCCAGGTCAGTATTAAAAGTCTTTTTATAAATATATCAAACTTAAAAAATATAATCTAATTGTAAATCTAAACCATTCTTGGATTCACTTACGGCCGCTTGCTATGTATACACAATCTCAATCCAATTTTAATTACTATTAAATATTTTAATCCATTTCTCATAAAATACTTTTCAATAGCCGATCGATGAATCGTTTTTGTATTTGAAGTCAACAAATCGAATGTTGACATTTATCAATCTAAATTTGCGAAAATCTGGAAATACATAAACATAAAACATAAAAAATTTCATAAAAATCGGTCTAACCGTTTAGGAGTTCAGTTCACGCTCAAAAGATTTTTGTATATAGAGATTATCGTAGCAAGAATCTCGTAGAACTTTAAAACATGAAGTAATATTTCAATTACCAAATTTTCAAGAGGTTCAACATTTATTAAATTTATAGTACTTAACCAAAGACAAAAAAGGATTGTGTGGTTTATGAAACCACGGTAAAAGTGAAACGTTTTTCACATTATAGACATTTAACTAAAAATGTTTGGAATAATATTCCATTAATGGTAGAAAAATCGCTTTATCAATCTTAATTTTATACTTAGAAAATTGGAATGATAATGGGAAATAATAAAAGTTGACTAAGTCTCCAACTAATATTTTTATTGAACTCTGTGTCTTAGAGAGTACGACATACATAATACTTAACAATTATTTAGATTATATACACGTATTAAATAATAGTCTATACACTACACGGTCAGCTGCTGCGAACTATAGGCGCCGCCATATTGGCCTTGGCTGCTATGACGAGCGCCTTTCACTTTATCCTTACTCCGCAGCCGACCGTCACGCGACATGCAACACACAGACGAAAAAGTTTGAGACGATGTAATAAAAGTTTCACTTTAATATTACAGAGGACATCCCATTCACAAACATAAACGCGTACAACATACATGACGTGTCCGAATGGCGCGATCTAAACCTCAAATACATCCTCCAAGTCATGCGTGATTATCGTCTATTAAGGGCCTACAGTGCCCCATTCCCAAACGAACGTTACTATTCCATGGCCTATATAGATGACGTAAGAGAGGGAACAGAAAACGATCTCTACACACGATCAACGGAACAACCGGATGAGAAATCGCCGGATTTATCCGTCGACTTATCTCTCGACCCTTCACCCGTACCCAACAAAGAGGTCCCTGATATTCTGGATCTCCTCTATCGCAGCTCAGAAGTAGTGCAAGAGTGTCAGGAGATAGAAGATCCCAAAGAAACGGTTACGACTTGGAATGCAAAGCAGTATTTGATGGATATGTATCCGTCGTGTGCGGCGTTGCTTAGGAAGGGATTGTTGTGGGACAAGGATGGAGATGGGTTGATTGAAAATGGTGGTTTCCCCGATCAGACTTATGATGCGTGGGTTATGTCTGGACCTAGGTGAGTTTTAATTTCGGATTGATATAGGTTTGTATATTAATAAATTTATTTAAAAAGTTTCATTCGTAATGGAAGCTCAAATATTGCAATTTTTTTGACGATATATTCTTTAACTGACGAGTTAAAGAATATGAGCCGAACCATATACATTATAAATAACAATATACATATTTGTGTAGGTGGACTTAAAAGTAACTTAATTTTTTTAATTATGTCTAAATACTCTAGTAAATGATTTAATGAGTTAGAAAATACGTCACTATAATCATAAATTCAATGTATAATATAAACTTTAAAAAAAAACGGGCACCTAAGGAAAGATACGGGCAATGTTTATAAATTTTTGACGAAGTCTTTAAAACCCGTTTACACGGTTGATCGGCAATGAAGACAAGATTTTTTTACTTACACTATTATATACAGACTACGTCAGATAATCAAATGCCATTTAATTAACTGAAGTCGAATTTAGAACGCTAATCTAGTGGCCGAATTTTTTGCAAAAGAGTTTATACAAATATGTTATAAAAATTGTTTTTAGTGCTTATTGTGGTAGTCTCTGGGTGGCTTCAATAAGTGTAGTCCGAGCGATGGCACACATACTCGGACAAGAAGAAGATGAAAGAGAGTTCTCGAAAATTCTAGAACGAGCCAAAACGTCGTTTGGTGATAAATTGTGGAATGGAAGCTTCTATAAGTTCGATACTAAGCCCTCGAATAAGAATGTCGTGATGGCGGACCAGTTGGCTGGACAGTGGTATGAGTTTACTCTTTGATTCCCAATTTTTTTTACATGATCATTGGCGCAACCCTTAGTCTTGGCTAAAACTTTGTGTCTGTTTTTCTTAATAGGCAAGTAGGCGATCAGCCTCTGCTTGTCACACGCTCTCGATTTGGGCCAAAAGAAATAACTTACCTCGGAATCTCTCTCCTTCCAATTAAAATTCGACCGTAGAAAGAAATATCTAGGTTTTCTGTAGAGGCCTTACTATATTTTTTGACATGACTTTCTGAAAGCTACCACAGACACTGCGCACTTATCACAGCTCTCAGCCACACTCCCAAATACGCTCCGATTCACGCATACTTATTGTCTTATCGGACTTTGGTTTGATTAGATGTAACACTAAGACTATTATTTCTTTAAAAGAATATCATCATGTACCACAGAATAATTGTAATCTAGTTACCGTCAACATGCTCCCTAGTTTGAGGACTAGCGTTAGATCAATTTTGTCACAACCATATTTCTGTCATGAATAAAGTTTTATAATTATTACTGGTGCCTTGATTGCGTGCAGTTTTGGCCTAGTGGCTTCAGATTGCGACTCGGGATGATGAGGGCGTAGGTTAGATCCCCGGATGGGCACGGATTGGATTTTCCGTCAATGTTCTTTTAACATTCGCTCGAACTGTGAAGGAAAATATCGTGAGGAAACCGGCTTGCCTTAGACGCAAAAAAGTCGACGGCGTGTGTGACAAGCGGCTGATCGCCTTCTTCCCTATTAGATTGAGAATCATTATGAAACAGATACAGAAATCTGAGGCCTAGACCTAAAAAGGTTGTGAAAGTACTTTTTTTTCTGGTGCTTTGATTCGAACGCACTCGGCATTGAAACGCATGCTTTGAATTCATAATTATGATTATGATAAAATTATATGTTAAAGAAACAATTTTTTTTTTAATAACACAAAATAATAAATGATGAAACAGGTTCCTCCGCGCATCTGACTGGAACGAGGAAGTGTTCCCCGAAGCAAACGTACGGAAGGCACTACAGACCATATATGAGAATAATTGCCAGAAGTTCTTGAATGGGAGATGTGGGGCTGTCAATGGATTCGTGACGGGTCGTCGTAGTAAAATTGATACCACTGGCGCTACAGAGTATGGAAGTATGGCCTGGTGTCACCTTTGGGCTTGCCTCGCTCATGATATATGAAGGTACTGTTTGTTATTTATTTCAGTAATGTGGAAATACATTTAAAATTGACAGATTTGTCTCAACAACAATTAAAAAATGTTTTATAATAGAAATCGGACCGGAACTTTATTCATTCACAAAAATTATATAATATTTCATATTAAGTATAAAGATTACAATTGAACAGACGTAATTTCAACATATTGTTTTTTTTATCAAAGTACACCTGATGATACATTTTTCATAGTATAAGTTACAAATAAAACACTATTTTCAGTCTGCATGCCGTTAAAAAGCACGCGAAAGTATAATTTAAAATTATATAGTTAAAAAAAAAAAAAAAAAAAAAAAAAAAAAGAAAAAAAAAAAAAAAAAACAATCTATCAGTTCATGTATATATACGATGACAATTATGGTAAACGCAATTTTTAGTTTTTACTTATTTAAAAGTACTTATTACCTTAACAATGTGAATGAGGCACCCTATAGGCGTACACGCCGTTTAAAAATTAAACTCACTTGCGAGCCAATGGCAATGTGAGTGTCCATGGGCGGGCGGTATCTCTTATGATAATATGGTGAACCTTCTGCCTGTTTGCCTCCTGTTAAATAAAAAAACGCTTTTTTTTAAATTGATCAGCCCACTACCAAATATATCAATATATAAAAAAATTGCACTGCAGGAACCTCAAACGAACGACTGTTCTTTCTGCACTTACTAGTTGTAGTTTTAGGCTACATAAATTATAGAATCAAAGCAAGACTAAATTAAATGGAATAACTAAAATAAAATATTGTTAATTTATCTTGCCTGTCATATTTTTTTGTGCTACACAATACATAACTGGGAATCTCCTGAAAAACAGTTCTCAGTACTTCATAAGCTTGGTAAACGTGATTATGTAACCTATTTTTGGCGATAGGGTAATTATTTTACGGTTTTAAAAGATTTCAGCGCCCGACTCTCATCCATGAGATCTAAGGTTCGATCCCCGGTGCACAAGTGGACTTGTTCATTTCATTCAATACTTGTGTAATGAAGAAAAATCGTGAGGACCCAATAAGTCGATGGCTACCTGTCTATTAAGAAAAATGATCACGAAACATAAACAAAAGGCCCAGACCTAATATAATGATTTAATTATTCCAGGTATGCATGAGCAAGCATTTGCAATGGCTGGTGGTCTCTACAATACATTAACTAAAATGGGCTTGGCATTCGAGACACCCGAAGCCTTATACGAAAATGGTAACCACAGATCCATAGCGTATATGCGGCCTCTTTCGATATGGTCAATGTATCAGGCGATTATTGCTAGGCCGCCGCGAATTAACCACGTAAATGGACAAATACATGGAAAACATTTATAGTGATGCCACGGTAAGGGCGGATGATTTTGAAAAAAGAAATTAAAAAAATGCTTTTCGGAAAATAGTGTTGCTAGAAAGTGGATATAATTATTGATTGTCGCTTTTTGTCACGTGATGAGTCATGGACAGTAGTTTTTGTGTATTATTGATTTGCGATGGTCACACCTGTCGAAAAGTTTGTATTGTCTAGAGCTCCTGGCCCTAGACATGTGTAAGCAGCGACATTTGTTATGTCGTGTCCGTTGGGTTCGTGATGCCTATAATAAAAAAGTGCCTAAAGGATACATCGACTTAATTAAAAAATAATAATAATATTTTAAGTCATCCGCCTTTGTGACATTATCGTGGAATATTTTACTCTAAGTGAATGTTACCCACGTGTCAAAATGAGTAATTTATTAACACTTGTTTAGCACTGCACAAAGATATTTTAAATCACTAATGAGCATTCTTCACGTTTTATATTTAGAATTGTTTACGATAAATAATATATATATATATATATATATAAATAATTAAAAATCACTAAGGAGTCCAAATACTGCAAAAAAAATAAACATCTGACACAGTGGTTTTCTAAATTTGTATTTTGAAAAAAGAATTCCAAAACGATGTTTATTCGACGAATCCTCCAGTGTATCGATACATATATCGATCTTGAAAACCATAAATCTAAATAAATATCGATCGTGGAGTTTGCTCCATATTAAATGCAATAAAATTGCGTGTTGACATTACCATTTTATTGTGCCATTTAAAAATGTTATCTACATGCTACAGCGAGCTTACCACGAAACTTCAATACAGCTTTCACTGCTTGACTCCATAATTTATTAAATCTAATGATTAGATAATCTTGGCCTTAGTACCTATACCCAATATTGAAATTGTTATTAAACATGGTAAGCTTGCAGCTAGTTGCATATCTAAAGTGTTAAATTAAATCTCTAGTTTTTGAAAAGTTAGGAAATTTTAAGTTGCTGTGTATTTCCAAAGATGATATATTCAAGTATTTATTTTTTTTAAAACGCGCAAAAATTTGCTTAAAAAGGCGGAAAATTGAAGATTTTACTGATGTTTACTGTAATATGCATGCAATGCGCCATTTAATAGAATTTAACTAACTATATGGATTCATACTAAAATGTCGATCACGGTTCGTTCTCGATCTAGTAAAATATTTGTATGTATAACTAAATTATACACCAGACCGAGAACGAACTGCGAACGGCATTAGTGTATATCCAGCCTAAATAGGCATATTGACAGCCTCTTACTGTATTTCAGTAATTAATACCCTTAGCACAAAAATACGTAAATCTAAAAGTATTATAATTTTTGTATGAAAAACTTGACTAGCACAGTGTGCGTTTTTGTAACTAGTTGGAAGCACGAATATCCTTCAAAAGGCATTCGTGTCAAATGCGAGCTGTCAGAAACTGACATTATCGTTGACAGATAAAAGGTTTGTGCTACGGGCTACAACATTTAAAAATGGAAACGACTGATGGAGTTTGATTAGCCTAGGTTTTGACCAATCGCAATCGAGCTGTGACATTTGACGTTTCTTTTTTTTTTATTTAACTCAGGTTGTACGCCAGCCTTAATAATATATTAGGCATTTCAATAACCAATGTTTTTTAAACTTCGAATTCTAAATATTATTTCTACAATATTTATATGAACTTCTATTATATCTATCATACAATTTCGCCACGATAATTTTAAATATATGTAAGAATATATGGGCCAATTAAACATAACGGTGATAGAGATGTTTTCATTAACCACGAAATTTTTAACAATGTAGAAGCCGAGGAATTATTTTTGTATGTTGGTAACGAATACATTAATATACTACACTATTCCTAAGTAACAAAGGCTATTTTAATTTCCAAAATATAAAAAAATAGCCGTGAAAATCCGGGACGGAGCGCGAAGTCTTCTTTAAAATGTAGTCGACGTCAGTTAATGAAAAGTATACAAATTTATTCATTTAAATTTTAAAATTAAAATATACCGTGATGTTTCTTGATTGACCCAAGTATTAATTAAAAGAGGCTTTTGTATCTTAATATTTTAACTTTAATGTCTACACAAAGTCTTGCTCTCTTAGAAAGTATCAAAACTGTATAAAAATAATAATTAGACTATACTCCTATTTTAAACATTTTATAAATATTCCGCATGTATCTAATCAATTTACATTTTTTACGAATGTCATAATTTATAACTATTGTTTGTATTTTTGTTAAAAACATTAACGTACCAGTGCAATAGGATTAAACAATCTATGAATTAAAGTCTATGGTTAGATTCAGAAACGAGACGTCTAGCGACCGTATGTCAATGTCAAAATTCAATACGTTTTTGACATATTGGCGCTAATTTCTGTTTCCTTAGACTGTTAATTCAGACTTAATGTTATTTGGTATAGTTCTTACCCTCTTATGAAAGAGGTCATTAAATAGTTAGAAGTAGTATATTTTATAGAAAATCTATGCTTAACTCCTTTCTTGCAATTTTAAATTCACATAATGCTGGTCAGAAATAATTATTATGTCATAAGAAGTATTGTTTTGAAGTTATATAATTTTGAATAAAAAGAATTTCATTTAAATTAATTAAAAATAATGTATGTAAATGCAGAAGTGAAAAATTGCATGAATTCCTTTTCCGAACTATTTTATGCTTAATTAAATTAATAAATAATGGTCTAATTACAGCCAATATATACAACATTGTTTTACGCTATAGAAAATAAATACAGTGTTACCATTATTTTTACATTGAAATAACATCGTAATGGTAACAAAAACAGTACTTTAGTCTACGTTTTATAATAAGGCCCATACGTTAAGCATAGATCAACTGACGAATTTGAATTAGTAGCCAGTGTAGAGGAGATTATTAAAAGGCGACTTTATCATTTATTTATACGTATATTTGTATCATAAATGCATTTTGGGAAAGTTAATATAAAAGTATGAATAAAATATTTTGTTTTTATTTATTCCTAAGATCCTAAAGGTATAAAGTAACTATTATTTTGTACCGTAAAAGCATTGCAAATAAATAAAATTTTCACTAACAGTAATTATTTACAAGTATTTACATTGTTGTAATTTTCAGTCTTGGTTTTAAAAATGAATCAAATCGGGCATTAATAAAAGTAAACAATTTTCAATAATTTGTAGCTCTAGTAATAAGTCAAACATATGTATTTATTTTTCTTACAAAAAAGAAGACAGACCTAGTGCTTGAGACAAAATCACGCCAAATGAGTTTTAATAAAATTAGTCACGTGACAAAGCGTGAGCTAATGTCATTGACGTACAAATTCCTTTAGCGGTAGTGGATCACGCCTGTCGCAAAGTGATTTTGTGTCAAACACTAGGTCTGTTTTCTTTTTTTAACATTATCTTTGTTAGAGTTGCTCTGTAATCAATATACTTTCATAGCCTTCGAAGCATTAAGCTTAACTATTATAATAATGCCCAACTGTCTCGTAAACAGTAACAATTGACAATCGATGTGACAGCTCGATTTAATTTCATCAATTACTAATATTTTGATACTGGCCTCAGAGCGGAATATGATAGATTTTTTTTGATGGAAAGAAATCATGTTTAGAAGAAAAACAAAACAAAAGCGACTGTGCTTCTTAAGGCTCGTGTCAACTTATTTTCTGGGAACTATTCACCATCTCTAATTGTTTAGGTGGGGACATAATTATTAAGTGGTTGGCAGAAAACATTCATTTCACTTGGTAGCAATATTTATGTATCATTATTTTTAATAAGTTTGATAAATGTTCCTAATGATTGTCTAAGAATGAGTAGCAGATATATTCATGTACATGTGAGCTCCATCGCGGTCGTCACAACGAATTCGGTCGCGGGCACCAAAAGTCATTCGTAAGTGAGTCGCGTCTGAGTCGCAGTCGAGTCGCTCGCGAGACGCAGATGTCTCCCTTTCTACTATTGTAGCCATGTGTGTTCTGCGGAATAATATAAAGATATAGTATTGTTGTGATGATCTTCAAGTGGAAGCGTTACATCATTCACAGACTACGTAGGTTAGATTACCGATATTTGAAAGTAGTCTATAATAGACAACTTTATTATAAAATTATGGAGTTACAGTCTATAAGGTTTTGTGCTTGTCTATTAATCCTATAAAATAGGTTGTAGCTAATGGAGAAATTCAAAATTATATGTAAAAATGTATACATCGCTGTCTCTCATTTAAAAACTTTCTTTATATGGAAATCAAGTCTATTTCAATAAAAAATAACGTGTCTTACGAACGTAATCGAACCGACACACAAAAAAAAATATGTACCACATTTGATTACGTTTCAAAAGTCCACTCAATTCAATCGCGTAGTGTTACTAAGAATAGACGCGTTAACTAGCTTGTTAAAATTGAGTTAAATGAGTGAATTCCTGTAGTTAATGACAATTACATGTGCTTTACCTATCTTGTTTGGGATGTCCAAATGTTGTGAATTGAGCGCATCCGTTGACAGGGCGAGGCGGGGGCGGAATCAGATAATCATCCAAGCGATTGTCGCCGTCGCAAGAGTTCATTGTTAATGTACTTGACGATATCTGAAATCCAATATTTATTACTATACATATAAGTATGAGCAGTGGGCCACTTATCGATTAGTATGTAATTATTATGATTTATCATATAAAAAAGCTTTTTAATCGATGTGAAATAGTTTTGGATGCCTTTTAAAAGTAGTCATTAGGTTTTAGGGTTCGTCTAGGAGTGTTGTTTAATATTTAAATTTGAATAGAGATATTATCCAATAAGACATTAAATCCTAAAATTTTTATAGAACATATGAAGGGTGCTAAGTTGTACAATTATTTAGTATAGAGATGTAGACCACGTTGTTTGTTCCTAAATATCTTTCTGTATGATCGAAAACATCTACGTTAACACAACTAAGAAATTTAAAGTACTTACAATAGATCTGGCCTTATCAT